GCACGGGGATACAGCCAGGAACCTTGGGGTCAGCACAGGGGTGTGTGGGTCCAGCAGGGAGGACTTGGGGTTGGCACAGGGGTCCAGCAGGGGGGACTTGGGGTCAGCACACGGGTGTGTGAGGTCCAGCTGGGGGGACTTGGGGTCAGCACAGGGGTGTGTGAGGTCCAGCGAGGGAGGACTTGGGGTCACCACAGGGGTCCAGCAGGGGGGACTTGAGGTCATCATAGGGGTGTATGGGGTACAACAGGGGGACTTGGAGTAAGCACAGGGGTGTGTGGGTCCACTAGGGAGGACTGGCGTCAGCACAGGCATCCAGCAGGAGGACTTGGGGTCGGCACAGGGTCCAGTGGGGGGACTTGGGGTTGGCACAGGGATCCAGCAAGGGGGACTTGGGGGTCAGCACAGAGGTGTGCAGGATTCAGCAGGGGGACTTGAGGTCAGCACAGATGTCCAGTGGGAGGACCTGTGGTGGGCACAGGGTCCGGCGGGCCCTACTAGGAGGGACGTGTGGGGTGGCGTGTGTGTGCTATGACACCTTCTCTCCCGGAGCTCACTGTGCGTTATGACATTGTCCTGGGATTCTCACGTGGCCTGTTCCACGGTGCTGCCTGCTGGTAGCTCAGTGCACCAGTGACCCCTGTCCTCCCACTGCAGCTCCCAGTCCCTGTGCTGAAGGCAAGGCTGTAGGGGATTGTTAGGGGCGTCACCCAGCCAAAAAGTCCCCAGGCCCCCTGCTTGTCCCTTGTTCCTTTGAATTAGCAAGAAAAACCTGTTTCAAATAACAAATCTGAGCACCAGCTGAATCTACTGGGGGCCCACACACCTCATAGTTCAGAAACCTGAAGGGAGAGACTTCACCCTGAGCTCTGAGGCTTCAGGCCTCTCCTGCTCTGCCTGTGACTGCACAGTGGCTGCCAAAGTACTGGGGCCTTCATCCTCCAGGGTTATCCAGAATCAGGGTGGGGCCTTGCTGGAGGAGCATTTCCTTTCTCTAGAGCATGAGTCCTGCACAGATATTTCTGGTCTTCCCTGAAGAAGGGATGCTGCCCTTGAATTTGAAAGAAACAGCCGAGGAGAGCAGGTAAAGCAGCCCCTAAGCTCACCCCCGAGGGTGGCCCTGATACAACAGGTGGTGGTCTTTCCCCCCTGCCAGCCGCTCAGTCCTCACCAGCCTTCTCTCATTGCCTGTGTCAAGGTCACAGGATCAGGTGGCCAGGTCTGGCCTCTGCACACAGACTGCAGAGTGCCCACGCCTGCTAGTTACCAGGGGCAGGAGAAGTGTTGAGGTCACCAGAGTCACAGGGCTGGGCACGGCCACCCTTTGTCTCCTTTCTTAAAGGCCTGGCCCGAGCCTCTGGGCTGTCCTGTCGGGGTCCGGTGGCCTCAGGTGCAGGAGGTTCCAGGAACAGCTGCTAGACAGCCCTGGAGGGGGCTGCGGGGGGGGGGGAACACATGCCCTCCCCTCTGGTGACCTACACAGCAGATACCAGACTTGCCCTCATCCCCTGGCTGCCCATGTGGCCAGCAGAGGGCTGGGCCTGCCTCTGCGGCCTGCCAAGGGACCCTGTAGGTCAGCGTGAGCCAGCAAGTGAGCGTGGCGTCCTCAAGAAGTGGCAGCTCTGAGCACTACCCACTCACTCTGTCCCTGGGCCCTGGGAGGACCTTGGGGCATGGGGGGGGCAGGCGGGAGGACTGCTAGTCACAGCACAGTACTTCAGCAGGGGGGGCCATGGGAGGGACCAGGACAGTGCTCTCCAGCAGGAGCTGGGGGTTGGGCTGGAGCAGGCCCTCACCATCCTGGCTGGGGACAGCAGGGACCTCACCACATGCCTGTGGGCAGGGCCTCCAGTCAGGCTCAGGGACAGCGTGGGAAGTGTGGCTGCTCAGTGGCCGATCTCAGCACAGGAGGTTGCAGCTACTGACCCTCAGCCCCAGCCCCATCTGAGTGGCATTTGGACCTCCAGCTAGGTTGCTCCTCTGTCACCTGACCCTGAGCTTTGGCTACATGCCTTGGCCTCAGTAAGTGAGGAGTTTCACTGCTGGGCATGTCCCGGGTGGGGACCCTCCATGGGGACAGGGCTGCCTCTGCTCTGCACGCTGTTCACAGCTCACCCACGCTGAGGTGCGTCTCAGCACTTCCCTGGGGTGACCGTGCCACATCTTGCTTACCCACTCGTGGGTTCCTGGGTACCACCTGCGTCCTTTTTAAAACTGTGTGTTTTATTTATTTGGTACTCAGGATTGAACCCAGAGGTACTTAATCACTGAGCTACGTCCCTGGCCCTTTTTATATTTTTATTTTGAGACAGGGTCTGGCTGAGTTGCCGAGGCTGGCTTTGAACTCTCAATCCTCCTGCCCCAGCCTCCTGAGCTGCTGGGATTAAAGGTGTGGCCACCACACCTGGGTTAAAGCTGTATTCATGTTTTTAAAAAGACTTGGTTGAAAGCCAACTGGTGGAGGAGGGTCCAGTTCTCTGCTTCACGGCACACCAGGCCCCCACATCGAGTCACACCAGCGTGTGACTTGACCATCGTAGATGTATTTGCCGCTGACCAGGGAGCACTCCTGCGGGGCCTGTTTTAAACATGAGAAACCAGGCTTGGTTGGAGAGGCCAGCAGCCTGCCCAGGGCCCCGCAGCTGCCTCTTGGACCATGAGCGGCATTCAGCACCAACCTGAACCTCTCTGTGGCCCACTTGTGGCTGTGCTGAGGTGGAGGTGGAAGGACCTTCAGTGCTCCCGAGCCATCCCCACGCCCTCCCTGCTTTTCTATTGGGTTTTAATTGTAAGACCTCCTTTGAGATCTGACTGCTCCTTTGGAACAGACCAATTAAAAAAAAGAAGACGACTCAGGGTTTTTGGCCCCGGGTATTTTCCTGCATACACAGGCTGACTCCAGATTGAGGTGGGTGGAGCGGACAGGGGACAGGTCACATCACATGGGAGACAGGACAGCTAGTTTTTAAATGCCCACAAAGTGGTGGAATTGCCTGCGATGCACAGACCAGGTGGAGGGGAGCAGCACATCTACGCCCCACCTGAGCGAGCCCACGGTGGTGAGGGATCAGCAGGACAGGGACAGCGCACAGCGTGCAGAATGCTCCAGTGCGCTTGCGAGTCCAGGCTTCCCGGGTGAAGACCCATCGCTTGGCTGGCCAGGATCCATGCTCAGCCATGCGGTGGCTGACAGTTGACTTTAGCAGCAGGACCGTGTCCTGAAGAGCACTTTCCTGCCTGTCCTCACTGCAGGACTTTCCAGAGCCTTCCCTATGATATTATGCCTGGTGACCGCCCAAGATGGGCAGAGGTCCGTAGTGCCCAGATGCGTGGGATGCCCCCTGGCTGGTGATCTGCAGTTCATCCTCCCACCCCCTCCAGCTGTGCAAGAAGGGCATTAATGCACAGAGAAGGGGAGTGGGTTACCCGAGGTCACGCAGGAGGTTAATTGTTAATTGCAGAGAAGGTCCTGGGGTTGAGGCCTCGCGTGCTCTTGCCGTCATGCCTCAGTTGACCTCAGATTCCCTGGGTGGACATTGTGCTGGTTCCTGGTGGAAGCAGGAGCTGGTCAGGCAGGTCCAACGCAGACACCAGAGAGAGGGTGGGCCCTGGGCGGACAGCCGAGGCTGGCCGCCTTCCCTCACGGGTGGAGCCTGGCTGCAGTGGGGTCTGCGCCACCAGGGCTTGCGGCTGGCGCCCGGCTCCAGCCGGCCAGCCTTCCACTCCTCCCCAGACCACAGGCGGCTGGAACTGCACGCAGGAGAGCCCGCCCAGGCAGCCAGCTGCGAATCTCCCGTGGAGCACAGACCAGGGCCATCCCCACGGGTCTCCCTTCCGCTTCCTGATCCTCCCCCTCAGACAGGGAATCAGAAAGCAGAGTCCTGTGGGGCCAGCCAGGAGCCTCAGCCACTGCTGCCCCTCCACCCCCTGGCTCATGCCCTGCCCAGCCTCGCGTGGCTCCTGGGCCCTGGCTTGGCTGTAGCCTACAGGTTCCACGAGGCTGTCCAGGGTCTGTGGTGAGCAGCTCCTCCTGTGCTCGCAGCCTTCTTGCAGCAGGGCAGCCCAAGTGCCCATCAGGGTTGAGTCCTGGTGCTGCCAGGCCAGCACCTCCACCAGAGCCTGCGGTGCCACCTGAGGGCTCTGAGAAGCGGCCACGTGGCTGTGCAGAGGCTCTGCCCACAGGCACGTGGCCTGTGCTCAGGGATGTGGCAAGAAGTCTCCTGCAGCTTTCCCCGGGCATGCTGTGCCCTGAGGGACACAGGGTGTTCTTTCTGGGTTCCAGGTGGATTTGGAGCCTGGCAGACCTCCTGCTGTCTCTGGCCTCCCCAGAGGCCTGCAGCCCAGACCCCTCCTCCTGTCCCTTCTTGGTGATGAGGCACCTGACAGTGCTAAGTCCAGCTGCAGAGAGGAGAGTCGGAGGTCAGGGCTGCCGGCTCTCAGGTGCCCCTGGCTCCTCCCTGGAGGGCCCATGGGCTCTGGGCCTGTCCCCGGGTTAGGGCTCCACAGACTAGACCTCGTTTGTCCTGCTCAGAAGAAAGCTGGGGGGTATTGATCTGCCTCAGCTGTGCTGTCTGACAGAGGGGGAGACGTGCTCTGAGATAGGAAGTGTGTGAGATCACAAGCTGACCACCCCTGGTGGGTCTTCTGACCCCTGTGGGGGCTCCTGCATGAACAGTGTGGGAGGAGCCCCTGGACATTCCCGTGGGGCCTGCAGGGGAGCCCCACCGGGCAGTAGGCACGGCCCCACTCAGGCACCGTGGAGGCATGTCCTGGGGATCCTGGTCAGCATAGCCTGATCCCTGGGGCTTTGGGTTCTGGCTCCCTTCACTCAGACCAGCATGCTGCATTCAGGGCTGCCAGGCCTGAGTGGGAAGAGCACGAGGTGGGTGCTGGAGGCTCCCCATTTACCCCGTGGAGCAGTCCCTGGCTCAGCCACGGGAGGCCTGAGCACCTGGTGTGGGGTCAGGGAGGCACTTCTGACCGCTGGTTGTATTTTCCAGGAGTGACTGGCTGCAGACCAGCTGGGACACCGTGGTGGCCTCTTCCCAGGGTGAGGAGAAGGTGGACACACCAAGCCAACCTCATCCCTCTGCAGGATGCTCCGGGTCGGCCCCCACGCCCCTCGGGGCTGTCCAGGCTGGGCCGCCTGCCCCGCCCTCCTGCCCTCTGCCTGGCGGTCACAGTGCACTTTGCCCTCTGCCTGTGGGAGGCCCAGTCTTCCTCCCACTCAGGTCTGGAGGCTCTTCGTGGCTGCAAAAGTTCATTGCCAAAGATTCAACAGAGACACCGAGAACAAGGGGCTGAAGCCCAGCAGCCAAAGGCCACATCGTGGCTCTGTGGCCTTCGACTCTCCTGTTGCCAGAGCCCACCTGTCTCAAGCCAAAGATGAGCCAGCAATTCCACCAGGAGCCTGAGAAACAGAGGGACAGGATGACCCTCGAGAGCACTTGGCCCTCAGAGCCAGTGCCATCCACACAGGGCCCTGGGCTGGCGAGTTCAGGAGAAGCCTTCTTGGGCCTGGGAGGGAGGCAGGAAGGGGCCAAGGTCCCTTCCCTTGCTGCCCTACTCTGGCCACCCAGACTCTGGCCCTGAGGAGTGGCTGGGGAGAGGTGGCATGCTTTAGCTGGGCACTCGCCCAAGGCCACCTGCCCAGGGGACATGCACGCTGGCGGCCCTGCCATCTCCCCAGGCTTCCTTGATGCAACGAGTAGCGGCCTGCAGAGGCCGGTGGTCTGTGGCAGGCCAGGTGGGAGGGGGAGGATGACGGGACCAGGCGATGGCCACGTAGGGAGGGCACTGGCCCCGGGGCCAGTGCCCTCTTGAGCTCACAGGCCAAAGCTGCTCACATGTGTTCAACCATCTGCTTCAAATTGAAGTAAAAGCCCAACGTGTAAAGCACACTCCTGCTGTGCCCAGCGGATTCTGTGGCTGGGAAGCTGGGGACAGGGTGACCTCATCTGAAGGTGGAGGGCCCGAGGGTGGGGAGCATGAGGGCAGAGGACCCACGTGGCCTTGGCCAGGTGTGTCAGGAGGGCAGGAGGCCTGACCCAGGTGAGGAGCCCCACGCTTCTGCCTTGCAACCTTCAGAGGGTCCTTTGCTAGAGACTGAGCCCAGGAGACCAGCCAATCCGTGACAGTGCTGTCCTCAGATCAGGATGGCCTCACTTAAGACCCTGTACTTGAAAACCGTTCCTGGTCCTATTGCCAGGCCCAGTCCACCCTCCTTGGGTGGCCTGAGACCAGACAGTGAAAGCCCACTGCAAGGAGGGAACTGAGGTGCGATATAGGAAAGGACTGCCCAGGGGAGGTGGGGCCAGGGGCAGTGGCATGCAGCCACGCTGGCTGACCCTCACTGAAGTCCGGCTACTCCCTGGGCCTCCAGGGGCATTTCCAGTTGGCTGAGGACTTGGCTTCAGCATCTGTGGTGTGTGTGTGCACATCTGCTCTGGGTTATCAGGCACAGGCCATGGGGTCGAGGGCCGTCTCTGGAGCCCACAGGGCCTCTGTGGGTGTGTCCACGAGCAGCCCACCTGTGCACACACCAGCCTCCTGCCCCCAACCCCAAGGCCAGGAAGGAGCGCCTTGAGAGTGAGCTGCCCCTGAAGGCCAGCTTCACAGCCCCCAATGCTGGGATGCCCTGGGCTGCTTCTCACCTTGGGCCTTGGGAGGTCCTAGAGAGAGGGCTGCGTCCAGGAGCAGGTGGCTGCCTCTGCGTGCTCTGTGCCCGTACCTTGACACCCCCTGTGTCCCAGTCTTACCCAGGTGACTCCATTCTCACTGTTTGCCCTCCCCCAGGCCGGGGGGGGGTGCTCCTGGGTGAGTCCCAGGGGCCACAGAACTCTGCAGGGAGCTGTAGCCACTCATGGCCCTTCTTGCCCCAGGGCTGATCTGGTCCTGGGCAGACTCCAGTCAGGTGACTGCAGTGGTCAGACAGGTGACTGCAGTGGTCAGCCACACTTACCTTCCAGGGGCTGCACAAAGGCTCCACTGGTCTCCCTCCTCCTAGGCAGCTTCCTGACCACAGAGGGCCATTGCCAACAGCCAGGTGACATGCAGCCTGGTCTCTCAGAGCCAGACCCAGGGGACTGTCCCTAGGTCCTCGCCCATGCCCACATCCTGGTGCCTTCTGCAGCCTGGCCCCAGGGAGGCACAGAGGGCCCTGCCCAGTGCCCTGCAGGTCTCACCTTCCTCTGGGTCCCCCTGCTGGTCCCTGGGAACCAACAGACTGCCTCCCCTGAGCCAGCCTCCCCAGGGAACCCCCATGGGTAAGTACTGACTTTCACAGACCCATGGACGCGGGTCTGATCCCGGACGTAGTAAGAAGTCCTAAGGGAAAAGATGGGTCCATTCATCCAAGTTCTCAGAAGGACTTTGTGTCTGGTTTTGTCTGGGGACTGGGGCTGGAACTTGGACGAGACCACTGAGCTGCATCCCCAGCCCTCCAGCGGACCTTGGGAAGCGGCTTGGGTTTTTGCTCTTGGATGGTGAATTAAAGGATGGAAACTACGGAGCTCACTCACTTGGGGGTTTCCTTTCTTCCACAAATATGACCAAATGCTTCATTCATCCAAACCCTGAGAGAGAGGAGCCCGGCAGGTGGCCTTGTAGAAGTGGGAGGGAGATGTGTGGGAGGGACACTCTGCTTTCCGCAGCTGGGCTTTGAGAACTGATCTCTACAGGGGATAGTCACCCTGCTCAGGAGCCTCCTGGTTATCCAGAGTGCGTGGTGGGCTCAGGCCCTGCCCCTACAGCTGCGTCCTGCAGCCCCCTGTGGTAGCTCTTCCAGGGGCCCCCTACTGCTGGACCCTCCCATGCTGTAGGCCACTGCTCAGCGTGGCCTTGAGCTGGTCTCATGGCTCCTGAGGTCCCACCATAGGGACGTGGTCAAAGGCCCATGGGCGGCTATGGGGCTGCCTCCTGTCTCTGTCCCTGGTCCCCCAGGCCAGGGCAGGTTGTTTACGAGGCCCCTGCCCCAGCACAATGCCTCAGCCTCTGGGGAGGACAGAGAAGCCCTGCCTGACCTCACAGCAGTGACCAAGGCCCAGGACCTAAGGATCATCCTTACTTTTCTCATATAAACAAAAACATGTCTACCCCACTCCTGAGGGAAGCAGGTGGGCACCCACTCAGAGCCCTCAGGACTGGGGACTGGCCTCCCACAGCTCTGGATTGGACTCCCAGAGTGTCACCGTCCCTCTGCTGGTGACCGTCCCTCTCTGCCCTGCCTGCTTGAGGGGACCCGAAGCTCTCTGCCGAAGCACCCAGCAGGACAGAGGTGTGTGGAGGGTTCTGCTGACGCACTTGGTAAGCGTCCACACCCACAGAGCAGGGAACCAGGGGCTCGTGGCATGTTCCCGTCCCTGAGCTCACTTCTGGGCAGCACCCAGTCCCAAATTGGCCCCCAGTTGGTGTTCAAAGCCTGTCCTTCATTCTGACACCCTCCCTAGTCACCACCGAACCCAGGCCTGTGAGCGGTGGTGGCCAGTGGGCAGGTGAGGAGCAGCCAGAACGGCCAGCTGGGCAAGCTGCTGGGGCTCCGGAAGAGTTGGGTGTCCCAGGCAACCAGCAGTGATCCAGAGCAGCAGAGGGGCAGCAGAGGGGAGGAGGAGCAGACAGAGTGTGCCTCGGGCCACACCCGCAGGCTAGACCCCTGCCTGGCACCTCCACAGTCCCTGGGCAGGCAGCAGGCCAGCTTCACCTCCAGCCTTGAGACCAGAAGCTTCTGGAGAAGTCCTCTAGTACACATGTGTATGCTCACACACACACACACACACACACACACACACACACACACACAGGCACACTCTCTCTCACACACACATACACACATTATCACACACTTTTTTTCTTTTTTTAAATAAAGAACTAAAAATATTGCCAAATCCCCAAATGGAGAAATTTCTATTTTTGGAGAAGACAGAACAAAAAAGCAAGTTTTTAGGAACACTTTGGGATAGCTATGACCTTTATTCTAACATTTAGAATCAGGGCAAGTGTTGGGCGAAGTTCCGGTGCCTCGTCCAGGTGCCCAGGAGGCCCCCCAGAGCTCTGGGGAGGAGCACTGAGGGGGACGCCTGCTGAGAACAGAGGGTTCCGCGCTCTCTCATGGGGTCCCACAGAGCAAAGCATCCCCTTTGTAAGCCCCCCAAATTCCCACCACAGGATGCTCACTTAACTTTTTGACTCAATGTCTCTCAAATTTATTGAGGTGCATAGTCTTTTTTAAAAACTTCTATCATGGTAAAATAAATACACATGAGATCATGTCAGTTGAGCCATTTGTTTTAAAAATACATTTTTTTCGTTGTAGATGGACACAACACCTTTGTTTATTTCTTTGTCTTTATGTGGTGCTGAGGACAGATCCCAGTGCCCCCCACGTGCTGGGCAAGTACTCACAGCAGAGCCCCAGCCCAGCCCCAGTTCAGCCATCTGTAACTGTGTCTCAGGAGCAGTCAGGACATTCACGTGGCGTGTGATCATCTTCTCTCCAACCCTGGTCATCAGAAACAAGAACTGTGCCTGCTCAATAGTGGTCCCCTTCTCCCTCCACCCCAGCAAGGCCACACTGCCCTCTGCCCCTAATCATGCCTCTTTTTCTAGACACCTATGCGTAGACTGTGCGATGCGTCTGTTCTTCTCTGTTGGGCACAAGGACAAGGTCCACCCTGGTGTGGCAGGCATCACAATTTCATCCCTTTTATAGCCCGTGTTTTTCTGAGTGGACAAGCCTTGTCTTGTTCACCCTGCCAATGGCCAGTGCTTATTCTTAATGTCACCACGGACCTCTCGTGGACCACCAAGGGGGTTCCTGGAACACGCAGTGGGACCACTGGCTCCTGGAGCCGGCAGCTTGTTTGGATTTGGGGTTGCCCAGCTCACAGAAGGCTGCGGTGTCTTCAAACTCAAGGCGGAGGCTAGTGCCCTGAGAGGGCAAGGGCTGTGTGGCCACCCGCGGGGCAGTAGGGTAGGACGTCCTCCGAATCCCACCAGGCATGCCCCCCCACCCCGGCAGACCCGCAGCTCAGGGCTGGTGCCATCTGTTGGGGCTGCCGTCCCTGCCTTTGACAGACCTGGACGGGAGCCAAGCCTGAGGGCAGCAGCTGGCTGGAGGCCCTGGCCCCCTTCTGGCAGGCTCAGAGGTCCTGGTCCCAGGAGGACCTGACGGGCTGTTCTAATGAAGCCCTCCCTACCCACCCTCCGAACCTCCCTTAGAGCTCCTTCCTGGGGTCAGGCAGGGTAGGGGCAGCAAGCTAAGTGGTGCTCCCTGGCTGGACGCCCAACCCAGGCTGGCGAGGAAACACCCAGACAGAGCCTCCAGTGTCACTCGAGCAGGGGACCCCACCAGGCTTCAGCTGGGAGGGCGTCAGTCCTGGGAGTACAAGCAATGGCCCTGTGACCCCGAAGCCCCCGACTGGCAGCGTCCCCCTGAGTCCCCAGACTGCCTTGTGCTGCCTGAGCACCCGAGTTCAGATTAAAACTGTGCGCAGACTGCTCCACTGAGCCGGAGGCCACCTTGTCCCCACAGAGCGGGTCTCACTCTCCTCCTGAAGACTGGCTTGTGAGCCTGGGAAATATTTGAGGAGCAGGGACATTCCAGAATCATTAAAAAAACAAAAGCAACAGAGTATCCCCAGAGAAGTCACAGATGAGTGCTCCCTCACATCTGCCCGAAGCCCCCTCCCCAAGCCCTGGCCTCACCTCCATTCCCGAGGGGTCCGTTGCCCCTTCTCCCTCAGGACACAGCCTGTCCCCCAGGGTAGGACCCTGGCATCTGCTATCTAGGCCCTGAGGTCTCCTGGCCTCTGCCCAGGGCAAGCCCCCAGGGTCCTGTTCTCCTACTCCTGGGTGGTCCTGCACAGGGAGCCAGGAGGGCAGCGGGCTGGGGCAGGAGCTGGGA